GCTGTCCTGAGAAGGTGCATGGTCCCTCTTGACTGCCCATGCGCGCGAGGCTGTGTAGGCATAGCCTCGAGAGTGCCAGCAGCCAATCCGAGGCAGTTTGTGACGCGCATTGCGTCAGAAGCGTGCACGCGCTGGAAGGACACCTTCCTACTGGCCGTACGATCAGGTCGTCACTGAATGCCGAAGACTAAGGCCGCGAGCTATGCAGGCGGTCAGTTGAGCAGCATGGCACGGTCAGCAGCGCCGAAAGGATGTCGCAAGGCGTGATAGCATGGCCGCAAGTACGCCGATCAATAAATAAAAACGGACACCTCTCTACTGTGAGATGGGTAAAAAGGAACAGGCCCCCGCCCTTGCGATCTTTGTGCAGGGTTCTTTGTGGGTGTGGTCGGCGACTAGCCGGGGTCGTCCTCCCGATGGGGGACTAGCACTAGCCGTCTTCCACATGGTCCCTCGGGTCCCTGCTGCTCCTAATCTCTTCGTACATCCTCCTGCTGATCTCCGCAAAGTCCTGCTCCCTCCCTCGTCTCGCCCTGCGCGTCTGCTCAAGTACGCCGAATTCCCATGAAAACAAGTAAAAAATCGCGCGAAAAAAGAAAACATGCCAAAAAAATCGGCGCCTGCGGCGGGCTGGGGGACCCCATCTCCCCCCCGCATGGGTACCCCCTAGGGCCCTCGCCTCCCCCCAGAGGTTCTTCAATCTACTGCTTCTCTTGGCAGGAGATTTGCCACTTAAGAGATCTCTATTGCCAAAGGCATCTACGATCTACAGTCCGCCAAGGATCTTCCGATGTTGCGTAGAGATTTCCATGTATGGCGGGTCAAACAAACGTTGGCGCGTCCTCAAAATGCACCGCCCACCCCGGGCTCAACAACACAGGCGTCAGGCGGCGCCGAACCCACCGTGGCACAGCGCCCGGGGCACCTCGACCCCCTCTCATCCCAGCTCTTCACCTCACCCATCTTGTGCCGACGGACTTCTACCCGCTTGGAGGACACCATGCTCTCACGCCTTCTGCCGCTTCTGCGCAGGGCCGCCATCGGCGCCGCCCTCCTCATCGGCGGCCGCCTCGCCTCGATCCCTCGCGCCCGCCGCACCGGATTCCTCCGCGTCCGCCTTCCGCGCGCCGCCCTCCATGCCGCCGCCGCCGCCGCCGCCGCCGCCGCCGCCGCCGTCCCCGCCGCCGCCGCCGTCCCCGCCGCCGCCGTCGCCATCGCCGTCGCCATCGCCGCCCCCATCGCCGCCGCCGCCGCCGCCGCCCTCCCTCCGCGCCTTTGCTCCCCACTTTCTCTCCCACCACTGCTGCCGCTTGCGCTGCCGCGTCTTGCCGGACGCGGCACGCAGCTCGCGGATGCGATCGGTGTAGCGCAGCAGCTTCTCGCCCCGCAGCAGCGCGAACTGCGCCGCCGCGCCGCCGAACGGCTGCTCCCTCTCCGAGAGCAGGCGCATCGGCCTCCGCCGCGCCCTCCTCGGTCTCCAT